AAATATTCAAAAAAATTAGCCAATACAACAATATTTTGAATATTTTGAATTTTTTGAATTTCAAAATATTCAAAATATTCAAAAAAATTAGCCAATACAAAAATATTTTGAATATTTTGATTTTTTTTAAATTTCAAAAATTTCAAAATATTCAAAAAAATTAGCCAATACAAAAATATTTTGATTTTTTTGAATTTTTTGAATTTCAAAATATTCAAAATATAATGAACTTCTCCCAAGAGTCTCTCTGAACCTCTTTTTTGGTGATTTCATTATTTTTTCAATATTTTGAATATTTTGAATTTTTTGAATTTCAAAAAATTCAAAATATTCAAAAAAATTAGCCAATACAAGAATATTTTGAATATTTTGAATTTTTTGAATTTCAAAATATTCAAAATATTCAAAAAATTTAGCCAATACAAAAATATTTTGAATATTTTGATTTTTTTGAATTTCAAAATATTCAAAAAATTTAGCCAATACAAAAACATTTTGAATATTTTGATTTTTTTGAATTTCAAAAAAATCAAAATATTCAAAAAAATTAGAGAATACAAAAATATTTTGAATATTTGGAATTTTTTGAATTTCAAAAATTTCAAAATATTCAAAAAAATAGCCAATACAAAAATATTTTGAATTTTTTGAATTTCAAAAATTTCAAAATATTCAAAAAAATTAGCCAATACAAGAATATTTTGAATATTTTGATTTTTTTGAATTTCAAAATATTCAAAATATTCAAAATATAATGAACTTCTCCCAAAAGTCTCTCTGAACCTCTTTTTTGGTGATTTCATTATTTTTTAAATATTTTGAATATTTTTTTTTGAATTTCAAAATATTCAAAATATTCAAAAAATTTAGCCAATACAAAAATATTTTGAATATTTTGATTTTTTTGAATTTCAAAAAAATCAAAATTACTTTACTTCGTGTGATCCCCACCATAACATTTATACATGTTCTTACTGGCACATCTTCTGGCATTCTATCTGACATATCTTCTGACATTCTATTTGGCATTCTATCTGGCATATCTTCTGGCATATCTTCTGGCATTCTATCTGACATATCTTCTGACATTCTATTTGGCATTCTATCTGGCATATCTTCTGGCATATCTTCTGGCATTCTATCTAGCAAATCTTCTGGCATTCTATCTGGCATATCTTCTGGCATTCTATCTGACATATCTTCTGGCATTCTATCTGGCATTCTATCTGGCATATCTTCTGGCATATATTCTGACATATCTTCTGGCATTCTATCTGGCATTCGATCTGGCATTCTATCTGGCATATCTTCTGGAATATCTTCTGGCATATCTATCTGGCATATCTTCTGGCATATTTTCTGGCATTCTACCTGGCAAATCTTCTGGCACTCTATCTGACATTTTATCTTCCTACATGAGGTCCGGCAGGGAACACTTGGCGTGGATACTCGCGGTTGAGGTCCGGCAGGGAACACTGGGCGTGGATGGTCGTGGTTGAGGTCCGGCAGGGAACACTGGGCCCGGATACTCGCGGTTGAGGTCCGGCAGGGAACACTGGGCGTGGATACTCGCGGTTGAGGTCCGGCAGGGAACACTGGGCGTGGCTGGTCGTGGTTGAGGTCCGGCAGGGAACACTGGGCGTGGCTGGTCGTGGTTGAGGTCCGGCAGGGAACACTGGGCGTGGATGGTCGTGGTTGAGGTCCGGCAGAGAGCACTGTGGATCGCGGGTCGCAGTTGGACGAGGACGACGAGGACGACGAGGACGACGAGGACGACGAGGACGACGAGGACGACAAGGACGACAAGGATGACAAGGAGGACGAGGAGGACGAGGAGGACGAGGAGGAGAGGAGGAGGAGGAGGAGGACGAGGCAGGAGGAGGCAACTGACATAAAATCTAACAACCCTCACCTGGCAGGTGGGGAATTCAAAAAATTTAGCCAATACAAAAATATTTGGAATTTTTTGAATTTCCAAATATTCAAAATATTCACAAAAATTAGCCAATACAAAAATATTTTGAATTTTTTGAATTTCAAAAATTTCAAAATATTCAAAAAAATTAGCCAATACAACAATATTTTGAATATTTTGAATTTTTTGAATTTCAAAATATTCAAAATATTCAAAATATAATGAACTTCTCCCAAAAGTCTCTCTGAACCTCTTTTTTGGTGATTTCATTATTTTTTAAATATTTTGAATATTTTGAATATTTTGATTTTTTTGATTTTTTTGAATTTTTTGAATTTCAAAATATTCAAAATATTCAAAAAATTAGCCAATACAAAAATATTTTGAATTTTTTTGAATTTCAAAATATTCAAAATATTCAAAAAATTTAGCCAATACAAAAATATTTTGAATATTTTGAATTTTTTGAATTTCAAAATATTCAAAAGATTCAAAAAATTTAGCCAATACAAAAATATTTTGAATAGTTTGAATTTTTTGAATTTCAAAATATTCAAAATATTCAAAATATAATGAACTTCTCCCAAAAGTCTCTCTGAACCTCTTTTTGGCGTCTGGGAGATTGCTTTCAATTTGAAATGGAATCAAATAGTCAACGGTCAAATAGTACATGAAGGTCCATCGTACATATATAGATATATTCATTAAATATACATTCCATTCCTTTCCACTTCATTACATTACATTACATATTTTATATATATATATACATACACGCATACATGTATATTAATACATATGTATGTATGTATGTATGTATGTATGTATGTATGTATGTATGTATGTCTGTGTGTATGTCTGTGTGTATGTATGTGTGTATGTATGTGTGTATGTATGTATGTATGTATGTATGTACGTACACAATGTATATGTATATGTATATATATGTATATGTATATATATATACATACACAAGTGATATTGCAAAATCCACCACTGATTTCTCCATTCAGGCTTCAAGAGTGGACCAATAGCACGTCTCTGAGATAACATATCTTTCTTGACTATCAATCGTCAAAAACATCGGCCGTGGTTTGGTCTGATAAACCGAATTGAAAGTCCCAAATGAACTGATAAAACATTGACATACATCAACAATCAATCAAATGATGTAAGTAATCTTCATTCTCCATCTATCCCCCATTTCTGGTCAAGAAACATCAGGTCCATTTAGATTCATTCCATTTATCCTCACTTATCACCACCACCAGTCCCACTCCCCTAGTACTGCATATCCCCATTGTTTTGGAGGAAATACCATTGGGCCCAAGCAACTATATACTGTATATAGATCCAGTACTAAACCATTGACTTATTCAACTCGTTTCTTTCGGAGTTTCGGACCCCATTTTGGAATATATCCAGTACTAACCCATGTAACCCATGGAATTTCTAGTAGTTTCCAAGGATTACCCATGATTATATATTCTACTGTATACCGCAAAACACATACAGATCTACAAACACAATAGTTCTATGAGTTTCACTATTTGAGTGCGATGTTACCAACTTCAATCTTCTCAAAAGGTGTTGCTATACCATGATTTTCCTATACTTTTCCCATGGAACATCTCCATGTTTGATGGCCCCGGGTCCTTGATGTCCGTGACCTTAGCTTTGGCGTCTCCAAACCTCTCCTGCGCAGCCTGCATCTCCTCCATGGCACGCTGCAGCTTGGCCGAGGCCTTGCTGAGCTCGTCCTTGGCCGCCTGGGATGGGCTGGACATGGGGTAAAAACGGTGGTGTAAGATGGGGGGGTGCCTAAAAATGGAGGTACCATGAGGTACCCCAAGTCACCATGGCTTTTCAATATACTTCCTAAAAATTGATAAACATGGTCTAATGACTTGGATGATTTGGGGGTACCCCCTATTTTAGGAACCCCTCCCATATGCTGGAATTTGGGGAGAAAACACTGGAATTGAGAGAGGAACATGGGGTACGTAAATGCCCATGTTGCCATGTCATACCGGGGTATTGAAAAATCACTGGGTGCTGGCTCGAGGTGTCATCCCAAACTCGGCAAGCCATCTGGAAGGGCAACTAAAACGCTACATGTCCACCCAGAGCAGTCGAAGATCTTTATCAGGAAAAGTTAGGAAGCGCAGAAGTGCTACTTTTACCACTGAAAATTGACATGCTGTAATTAATTAAAGAACACAAGGAGAAAAAATATAGAAAGAGAGCCTAGAGTATGCGGAAGGAACCTCCTGACACTTGCTGCGTTTCAAACACTGGGGAAAATATGCGAGTGGCCCACGTGCTTAAAGGTATGCCCCGATGTGCTGTCCCGAAACTTGGCTGCTTTTTATCCCGTGGAAATACCGCGAAGTTTGGGTTGGAGGTTGGAGCCCTGAAATCATTCAAGTTTTAGCAGTATTTGATGTAGTTGTTAATCGTTTTTGTAGTAGAAGTATGTGCAAGTACCAAAGTTGGCCGCCTTATCTTGAAAATGTCATGCATCAACCACCGACCCATGTCCATTTCGCCGTGCAGCATCTAAGGTCCGCCTCACGGCAAAGCCATGGTGGGTGAACTCATTGCCTGATGCGCCAATCTTTTTGTAGTCCTTCTGTGCAGCCGCCAGCTTCTTTTGCGCAGAGTCCTACAGCTGAGCTGTATGAACTGCTGGGGAAAATTCGATGAAACTGGCATTTCTCAATAATGTTTGAAGCATAGATACCACCTGTAAGATGCTTGCAACTCGCTAGTCAAAGGTAATTCAAGCCACTGTCATGAAGAAAGCCACAACCCGTGGGACATACGGAATATCTTTCAAACATGGCGCTTCCTAGAAGTATCAGGGTCAGGGTCCTCAACCTTCCAGCTACTCGTATGGCTGCTTACATTGCCCGGGTGAGCCACACACGCTCATCAGCAAAAAGTGATACCAACAATTCTCCTTGGAAATCAAACGCCCCAGGGCTTTCTTAACCTGCAGTGAAACTAAACGATATCAACCCCAAAGTACGAATATCATCAATAACACGCTGGGAAAAGCATCCATGTATTTTGGGGGACCCCTTTACACCCCCATGTTATACAGCAACCCTTTATAACCAAGAGGATACCAAGAGGATCCAAGGTCCTTGGCCACCTTCAACTTTGACACTTCGGCTTTAGCATCCGCCAGGCGCTCACGCAGATCCTTCATTCGCTGACCCGCCTTTTGCGCCAGGGACTTCTGCCGGCGCTTGCGTTTCAAAGCTTTGGCCTAGACCCACCGGCCATCGGCGGAATCCATGGGCCCGCGAAAAAGTGCAGAATTCCCCAGAGATCTATCACCGGAGTCTATCAAATAAGGTCACGGGGCATGATGAGTGTCATTGAAATTGAACATATTTATTATCGATTATTGTAGTTTTATATTGTCAGATAATTATTGTTGGATTTCTGTCTGCTACATGCCGCAGTCGGCCTTATCTTCCCTCTCAATGGCCCTGGCCAGCTTGCCGGCAGTCGCAGAATGCTTCTCAAGTTCCTTCTCTGCAGCCTTTAGTTCCTCCCTCTTCTCTTTCAGTTTTTGTGCCAGGGGTTTGATGTCCTTCTTCAGCTTCTGAACCAGCTTTTGTCTCCTGGCTGCTTCCTTGATGGCGGTTCGTGCCTCCTTCTTGCTTGGAGGAGTCTTCATTGAGCGACTTACCTTCTGGGCCTTTGGCTCTTCTTCTTCTTCCTCTTCTTCTTCCTCCTCCCCTTCCTCTGCCTCTTCCCCCTCTGAACCATCCTCATCTGGAAATGCAGCTGGCCTCTTCCTTATGGAAGCTGCGGGCTTTCGTCTCACCTCTTCACTATGTGACTCCTCGGAGTCATCGTCCCCAGGTGAAATCTTGGCTGCAGGCCGCTTGAGGACAGCAGCCGGCCGCTTCATGGCAGCTGCACGCCGAAACCCCAGAAAAGGTGGGAACGTATTTAGTCTCCAAGGTCCTGGGCTCATGGGCTGCTGAAGCTCACTTGACAACATCAAAACCAAGCTTTGTAGCATCTCACCCACTTGTACATAATGTTAAAGATCCATGCGAATCCAATCGTGCTGCAATCGAATATGAAATCTGATCGTGTTTGCTGACATTTCTCGCACACAGGTGCGCATGCAATTTTCTAAAAACGTCCCGCCCCCCTCTCAAAGGATTGTGTTCAAGCACTCAAAATCTGAGCCTTCACGGCATGTTCAAAACATTAGTATATGGATTGTCTGATCAGCAGGTCTGAACGCTGTAAGCATTTTGAGCCAATGGCCCTGCGGAGATCATGATGAAAACAACCTGGATGAAAATACACATAGGGATGCCTTATAGTCCTTCCAAACCCAATATATAGTAGGGAAAACTGTTTTTGTTTCACTCTATATTACTATATTACTGCAATGAACCAGGAAGGGCCAAGCTGGCCAAACCCAATCAAATCGTCGGAATCTGGGCAACGTGCGCGGTCAACCCCTGGCCCTCAATGCAGCTGGTGTGGCCTCTGCTCGTTTTGGACCTGCACAGGAGAAGTCTGCCATGCTCTATACCCGTCATCCTTTTTGAGACCAACTCCAAAACATGTCCGGAATCGGGTGGGTACTAGATCATTTTTCATAGTATGATTCTCATCATGACGATGAATGTCATCCTTTCCTACCTTGGACTTCCTCAATATAAAACTGAGGCAAAGCCCATGCGCAGCCTTGACCGTCCGTCTGCCTGCACAGAGTTGGAACTATTGAACATGAAGGTGTGTATAAATGGGGGATGCCACAAACTCAGCAATAACCGATGAGATAGATAGATAGATAGATAGATAGATAGATAGCGAATCGGAGGTTGTCTCCCCGATTATGTTCTGGTACTTGATCCTGAAGTGGGTGTTTCAGTGGTGACGTCACACGGGTAGCGGCTTCGGCATTGCAATTCTTTGTTCCGGTTCCTGCAGTGGTCCTTGAGCCAAAGGGGCGAGTTGATGTACCCCTTGGCTGTGGATCTTTGAGGGCTGAATTATGTGGTAGTGTACAATGGTCCGTAGCCTACACTCTATTCGCACCCCCCACGCGTGGCCAACTTTGTCGGCCACGCGCAAAGGAGTGTCCCTTGAATTGATCCACTACATCTGCAGCTGTTCATTTATTGAATTACTGAGAGCTAAAGTCCGTTCAGAACTCCAAATCTACATTGCGGCTTGCTACGATCTCTACCAAAAGATAAAGGTTCTGTTCACGTGCATTTTGACACGACGTAGACGGTGTCAAGCATTGAGGTTCATCCGATGTGGCGTAGCCAGCATGGAGTCCCACTCAAGCATGTGAGTTAAAAAATCAAAACACAAATTTGACTATGGAACTAGAAGTTTACCTTCCCGTCCCTTCGTCGGTTGAGACGTAGACCGCTGTAGAAACTCAGCGTTTCATGCAATGATGTTCAAAAAAATGTGTGGTTCTAAATTAACCGGCTCAGAGTCCTCTCAGAAATCATTCAAAATGAAGTAGAGGTAAATCTCGAGCAATGATTGCATCCTCGCATCGCCAGGTTCAATCAGGACCTATGCAGAGGTCAGATCGCTTAATCATCTGTGTCCCCATCCATAGTATCCCTGTTGGTTCCAGTCTCCGCCACGGTGTGAATAAGATTTTCCACCTTTTCCTTGGTCTTTTCCACCCTTCTTTGGCGGGGTCACCGGAGCTTGTTTTGGCGGAGGAGCGGTTTCAACTGTTCTCCATGTCGCTGACGATGATGCTTTCGCTTTCGACACTCTTCCCAGTGCTGGTGCAGCTTTCGGGGCTGCTTTCGATTTGCCAGCGGCTGGATTGGCACGTTCACGATCAGCAGGAGTCGGGGGATCAGCAATCGCAAGTATGTGAGCTTCAGACAAGTGGATGCCCCACCTTGGTCGTTGATCTTCCCGTTGCTTGATGTGATTGTAGTCATCGATCGCATCATATAGCTTTTGGAGTAGAGGTCGCGGCAATTGTCGGCCATTCTGAAGGATCAGGTGTAAAAGTGATATTCTTCGAAGTGGTGGACGAAGAGCACACACAATGTCAACTGGATTCAGTGTGATTGTGTCTTGAAAGTCAACGTTCCTGAAGAAATAAACAGCATTTACCCTATATGCACCTGCAATGATTCTTCTGACCATGACGTCTTGTCGGTCAAGGGCGTCGCGGGCCGCTGTGGTCTTTCTCATCTCATCCATTGTGGTGTCACGTTTCGACAGCTTCTCCATCTCCTCATCAAAGAATATGTTTTGCAAGTCATCATACGTGTAGCCACATTCAAGGGTATATATGAGAAGTCTTTTGAGTACCACTGCCCCATAGTATGCATTGACGAATCCCTCTTCTCCGATGTCGTCCTTTTGATTTGGTCGGCCGATCTCTTTGTAGAGCTCTTTCATCTGTTGTGCAGTTGGTTCAATGAGTTCACCATTTTCATCCTCGCCCAGGTAAGGTGTTCTTGAGTCCAGGTCCATCCTGAATTTCTGGTTCTGTTGAAAATGTTTCCATGCCGTCTCGATGTCTCCACAGAAGTTCCGTTGGAATAGTCTGTAGATCCTGACGATATGTAATCCAATCTGCAACAGGAGGATCTTGATGAATTCTGGCTGAGCATCTCCAATTGTGCACGGTTCGATCGGCAGGACCTTTGATCCAAACTCAATCCGCTGCATCCACTTGGGGTACTCAATCACTGCATCACGAGCTTCTCCAGCCTCGTACTCTTCAATGTTAATTTCATCGACCGCTGTCTCTTCATCATCGTTCTCATCGGTCGGTTTTCCTTCTTGATTGAGAAATTTGTCGACCTCATCTTGTTCTCTGAAGTCTCTTTTCTCATCATTGATGTCGCCCTTCTTCGAGGCTTGATCATCATCTCCTTCTTCTGGTTGAGTTTCTTGTTCTGGACTCTTCATGGTGACATCATCATCATCTGGCATCACCTCGTCGTCATCATCATCACCTGTCAAATCGATCTTCACCTCCTCCCATGCTTTCTTGACATGGTCTTTGAGATCTTCTTCTCGATGATGCGATTCGGTACTTGGTACTGTAGCCACGGTGATCTTGATTCGTTTCCTCCATCCATGACTCATCAAAAATCCTTTGCACATCACACAAATCGATAATGGCGCAGGGGTCTCCATCAGACATGCGGGGCATAGTCGATGGTCCTCTTTGCTAGGGTGATGAGTGACTGCCAATAATGAAATTGCATCATTCCAATCCGGATGTCCAGGGAACAATCTGTGAGTATGACTGAAGTGACCGGTCCTGATATCGACAAGTTTTCGAAGTTCGTCTAGATCGGGTGATGATTCTTCAGGCACAATGTTTCCAATGAGCTTGTCAAATCGTTCAATGGTGGCCACCCTCTTTGCACCTTGCACAGAAAGAACAAGTTGATCTCTTCCCTTCGTGATCATGAGACGGTAGTAGTCCTTTTCTCTCCAGTCGTAATACCAAACTGCATCGAATGATTCGAATGGAATTGTTTCTTGGACCAAAATGTGTCCGTCTGCTGACAATCGAGGGGAGAACTTGGCGATGGAATCGTACGTGATGTAGATGTAGACAAGATCAGTTTGATCAATCTTCCTGAATCTCAGCACCATTTGACTTCTCACATCCCACGGTGCGAATGGCACGAAGAACGTATTGATGCGGTCGCCTCCTCCTCCGGGACGTAGTCCTTCTCTGAAGATTTGAGCGATGTTGTCAAATGTGGTGCAATGAAATCCTCCTCCAAGAGTGTATCCTACTCCAGGGTTCATCTGATAGGAAGTCTTCTTGTCTTCGATGTGCACACCGCCTTGAACTCTTGAATGCGCCATAGGGGCACGGATTGCCACCGGCCAAAGCCAAATCTCTCGATCTGCTGTGCCGATCTCCAACCTCAGTGTTTGTCGATCAAGTCTGAGGTCAATCCATCATTGAAGTTGTTCATGATGTGTTCCAACTCACCTTTCGTGACCTTGAGTCCTAGCACTTGTGCTCGGATTCTCTTCGTTTGCTTGTACTCAGTGAAGATCACTCTCTGGAAGTTGTTCCACCTCTCAACAAGTATCGGGTAGTTGACGTAGGTCGTTCCAGCCAAAGTATGTTGGTCTTTCCAAATGGCATCGTACTTCAAGATCGACTCAACATTGACCCAACCTGCCTCGTCGCATGGTAGTCCACGGTGATTTCGACTGTCTCTGACGCAACCCACGGAGTGGCGTAGCGCTGCATTGAATCTTTTTGACAATTCGACCATCCATGGCGGATTTTCCCACTTGTTGCCCATCCACTCATTCTCGCCATATCGATGCACTTTACACCAGCCCATTCCAAGATATTCTTCTCCATTAATGCGAGCAAGTTGAAGTGTACCAATGTTGTGGCCATGTGTAAATGGTTGGATGTACTTGAAGTTCCAGTTGTCTCCACGTTGTTTTCTTTCTTCAATAAGCCATTTTACATAAGCATCATGATCAAGGGGGTTCCAAGCGTTCAGCTCTTCAATGGTCGGCAAAACAGGCGGGGATTCCTCAGCCGCACGCTCAATCAGCAAGTCAAGCTCATGACGATTCTTCACACCTCGGCTAATTGGGTTGACTTCGACACCATTCACTAAGTATTGTCCTCCTTCTTCACGATCACCAATGTCGTACATAAAGGCTGACTGACTGTAGAAGCACTTGGTCACTTCCTCTTTCTCAGTGAATCTGGTTCTTCCCCAACGCTTTCCTCGTGGCATGACGTTCTTTGGGAGCTTGTCTTTTCTGCCTCTGGTTGCAGCTTTGGATCTTTCGGATGATGATGGGGATTTGGACTTCTGATCCATGATCAACCTCATGCGCCATATGGTGTCCTTCATGTTCTCATCATCTGGTGTAGTACATTCGTCGATGCCATGC